CGGAACCTCTCCACTAACATTTGAAATTTATGGTATGGTATTAAAGTTCAAATTGACTTTTAAGTATTTTTACGAATCGTTTGTATGGGAGTATAGAAAAGTGTTGTTTTTGGACTTTCTCAGGCATTTTTTTAATTTTTCTCTGCGTAAGAACCATCCTCGTACTTCGAGGAATATTCTAAAAAAAGAATTATCGAAATCAGTTCACTGTTCTCGAGATTTGCGTTTAGCAACACATTCAGCGATTCATTTTTATATTATAGATGACGAATTGAAAATCCTCTCCGAAGTCGGTTAGCAAAAGGAAAAACTTAAAAAATTCATAGAATGCGTGTTACTATGACCCCAACATAAAACATGAAAAAATAAAGTGAGTCTCTAAACATGCAACGTGCTTTTCCGTCTTGTTACGCTACATCTAATTAAAAATGAGAGGAGGCGAGTCTGCTCTTGCTACATTGGGTACTATTAATCGTTGTATTTAACTTTAATCGTACACTATTTATGGCTAAACAGTAGGACACGGCATTCCTAAAAAATCCTAAACTTTGTTAATATATATATTTTTATTTTAAAATCATAATTTTTATATCATTTACATGTGTAATGGAAAGTCACTTCATGAGTTATCTCAAATTGAACACATTTTTCAATTTGACGACTTTGTATATTATAATACAGTGAGAAAAAAACAGCCCTTGCTGAGTTTCCTGTCGGTTCTTCCTAGTACAAGGTCTCCCGCTTTTCGACATTCCCAAGTGCTTGTCCTAACAACCTAGACTGAATAATCGTATTGAATTATGGTCCGAAACACATAATTTGCGAGTCCGTTTCGCATTTGTTCAAGTTTGTTCCTATATATTATTCTTTTGCCGAAGCAATTACGAAAATTAGCAAGTCCTTGCTTGCTAATTGAGCCATAAATCTGAGTGAAATATTATTCGTGCTAGAAAAACAATCTAATACAGATAGAAAAGGCTTAAAACTAGAGCAAAGAAAAAACGCCCAGCTGATTCAATTGTATATTTGGGTCGTTGACCTAATAAAATGGGGTAAGGTGGTAAAATGGGGAGAAGTGGGGTGTAATGGAACGTGTGTTACCAACTGCTATAAACACGGATGTTAATATTGGAAATTGAAGTCTAGAATATTTGGCATTATACAATATTGTTGAGTTGGACTAAGTATAAAGTTCTTGGTTTATTGGTTCGTAAATCGTAACCGAATGGTTTTTGTACTTTTTAAATAAAAGAAAGTGGCTAACGTGAAAAAAGTGAGGAGCTCCATGGCGCGGGTGGCTACCGCGTTCGGTTGCGATCGTTGAAGTTAAGCAACTTTCGCAGTGGTCGGCCATTGGATGGGTGATCTTCTAGCTGAAGTTCCTCCGTGCTTCGTAAGGCACTTTAAGCCGTTGATCCCGGCTGCATTTGCAGTTGTTAGCACCCGCCAATTCGCACTGGGCCCGCGTGGTGGTTCATGACCCAATCTCCCTATTCCATCCATAGAGAAGGCCTGTGCCCCAGCGGTGGGGACATTAATAGGCTGATGATGATGATGAAAGTATCTAATCTTTAGTCACAAAACATCGTCTCAAATTTTGAGAGATATTTAAGGTTACAATGCAGTACGTATATTGGTTTATTTATATTTTAAACTTTTTATAAGCTTGAGTGACATCAAATATGTAAAGACATTGTTACTCGGGCTTATAAAAAGTAAAAAAAAGGGTTTCCACGACTGGGAGTCGAACGCGGGCCGTCCGCGTGGCTGAAGAGATGTCTATCACTGAACCAGCGTTGTTTGTTCATATGGTCAGAATTAAAAAAAAATGTGGCAAAATAAAAAAAACGAGTGTGCTTATGACCACACGACTGAGGTGAAACTTTTTTAGCTTCATCTGTATATATATAAATATACAGGGTGTTACAAAAATACAAATAAAGCTTTAAGGGCGTTGAAGTACAATATATGAGTCTTCTTTAATTTTCTTAAAATAATTGCATGAAGTTTTAACTTTTTATAAAACAGTTATTTTTAATGATCCTCGAACTAGTGACGTGTCTTAAAATGATCGATATTTTTAATTATCGTTAAAAATAACTGTTTTTATAAAAAGTTAAAACCTCATGCAAATATTTTAAGAAAATTAGAGAAGACTCCTTATATGATGTACTCCAATGCCCTTCAAGCTTTATTTGTATTTTTGTAACACCCTGTATATGTGTGTGTATAATATATACACACATGTATGTACATACCTATTTCATTTACAAGCTATAAGACAAAGAGAGAAAGAAAATGTGCGCGCACTTTCACTTGTTAATATCCCCCACTGAACTCCCATTCGCCTCGCCCAATCACACTTTTCGTAACGCATTCGCCAGCTTACTCCCCAAGTCAAGCGTGCGTAAAGAAGTTTTACTTCAATAAGTTTCACTTTAATAAATTTTAATGTATAAATAAATATGTTATAAAAAGGATTTTAAAGCCGAATAAAACACACTTAAACGTGATCATAAATATACTTATTTGTATGGTAAAGACAAATTAGATATAATATGTGTTGGCGTAATAAATTATCTCACTTCATCAAACTGAACATGGTTTGTACATACGACAAACGAATGATCAAATGTTTGTAATATGTAATATAAATTATTTACAAATGAATCTAAGTAAGTAAAAAAATATTCATACTAAAACAACATCATGTCTTTTGTTAGTCTGTAAACATGATAATGATATATGGTATGATACTTTTTGACACAATGAGATACATTCACAATATTTGTCTTGTCTCTGGTGTTAACCTGGAGTAAATCATGTACCGTCACGTATTAACACTTACATTTTAACGATAGCATTCAGAGTTGAGGAGCTTGATGGCGCAAGTGGTTAGCGCTTTCGGTTGCGATTGTTAAAGTTAAGCAACTTTTGCAGTGGTCGGTCATTGGATGGGTGACCAAGAATTTATTATCACGAGTTCCTCGTGCCGCGGAAGACACGTTAAGTCTTTGGTCCCGGCTGCATCTGCAGTCGTAAGCACCCACCAATCCGCACTGGGTTCGCGTAGTGGGTCATGGCCCAATCTCTCCCTATTTCATCCATAGCGAAGGCCTGAGTCCCAGCAGTGGGTACATTAATAGGTTGATAATGATTCAGAGCAGCCAATTAATTATAATGGTTGTCAACGTAAAGCGATGCAGACGTAAATGGTTTAGCGCGATCAGCCTGCGATCGTGAGAGTTAAGCAACTTTTAACAATTACCGGTCTGCGGATGGGTGGCCAGGAATGTATTATCTCGTGTTCTTTCGTGCTTCGATAGTAATGTTAATGGCACAGAATACAAAAAGAGGTTAAAACGGCGCTGTCGGCGGGGCAGGCGCACTACAGTTAGATGTGAGCAAATGCTCATAACTTGCCTTTATTGTAATAGGGTATTTGACAGTATTAAAAATAAAGTGCCAATTGTTAGCATCTGTGTTTAGAATGAATATTGGCAGAGGTTTTTACTATTTTTACAAAAAAAATATTCATCATTTTTCTAAACACCCACGAAAAAGATAATAGTTTTATTATCTATTGTCACGTGACCCAAAACGCTTGGGATTGGCGGAGCCTAAAATGACGTCACACGCGGGTAAACTTCCCGGTTAAAGTCAGATACATTGTATCGTTTGACGTTTTAATAACAATCGTGTGACGTCACACGCTAGTAAGACGCCATATTGTCCAGAGTAACGTTTTCGCGGCAATTTGAAAATGGAGTTTTTGATTTGGTTATTCTTACTGAAATACACAACAGAATGATGAATATCCATATCTTTTTACGGACTCCATAAACATTAGTCAATAACGTGAGATCGTTTTCTAAAACTTCTCAAATACCCTATTGTTGGGAAAATGCGTGACGCATAGGGGCGGCCCCTTGGTGAGAGACGGGGTTATGTGGGACTCCTTCTCCCCACAAATCTCGCCCACCCGCTCAGCTAAACTGGCTCAGCGGCTGCTCGGGATGAGGGGGGGAGCTAACTTAACCTAACCTATCCCAACAGTGCTTCCTCGCCTGCCTGAATGGGTTTCGTAGGATCCTGGTGACTCGCCACGTTGCTCATAACTTGACCTGAACTCTGATGTGAGCGCTGATTGGGTCGATTGTTTGATGTCGCGTCTTTTGATTGGCTATTATCTACATATTAGGTGGAAGTGTAGTGGGGGCGAGCTGGCGACATTTGTTCCCGTACAAACGGTCTATGAGAACCCTTCTAACCACTTCCTGTGTTCTGTGATATTTGGTAAGTTGACGTTGCTGTAGCTTATTTTATTAAAGTGAATAGTAATAACAAATTATCAACAAGCATCGGTGGTTCAGTGGTAGAAAGACGACCCAGTTCGATTCCCAACCGAGGATGTTTTTTTTATTAATGATTTTAAAAGATTCACTTGCTTGTTTCAAAAAACCACGCCAATTTTCTTTTAAACTACATTTCCCAATCAGGTAAAAGTCCTCAAACAAACCTACCTAGCTTTACCTCGGACGTAAACTATAATTAATATCATTGATAAATAAATTAAAAAGTATTGTCGTTTCGCTTTATTTCGGTAGAATCAATAAGAATTACGTAGTTACCTATTAGTCGTCTTTTAGTTATCTTGGAATACGAAACTTCTTTTATTGGCCACGTAGGTATTCCATTCATGGTGTAATTGGTGGTAACATATTGACATAGCCTTTATTAGCGTAGCAATAAAGGCGAGATTCGTCGCGTTACTGTAACCTATATTGGCATATTGCCGATTCTACCAATCTACGTTACAACATTTACGAAAAACAGATTGCTCTTAACTAGTGTGACGTTATCTCAATGACCCTATGTAAACCCTCTTTTGTATCATTCTCATTAGCATCCCGCAGTCATCGAGTGCGCACGTCTTTCGCCTTGGCTTTGTTAATATCTAGAAAAAAAAAAACAAAAGTCACATTTTCCCGCGTTCTATGTACGTCAAGTGACGCGTTTCCCGTGCCCCTGGCTGTACGCATGCCTCATCTCCACTCTGTATTGAATGAGTGCAAAGACAGATTCCTAGCGCCCCATCGCCAGTCCTACGAATGGCGGTCATAATATTGATTTTCGGCGCAACAGTGTATTAATTTTGTATCGTGCGACAGTCCTCTCCGTCAATACGTGTTGTGGCAGTGATTTTATTACATTATTATAAATAGAGAAACAAACTATACAGTATACAGTGCCTTCGCAAGTGTTTTCTTAATTTTAAGTTAGACAGATCGGTAAGTCGGTCACGCAAGAATTGATTTATTTTTAATCTGTAATCTGTAGCTACATTGTATTCTTTTTTTACGACCATAAATTTTCGCGGTGAAAAATTGACAGCGAGGAGGTTTTGAAAATGGAAGGTTGAATGTCTTTTTTTGTTTACGGAAGAACGGTGTTAAAATACGGGCTATTGATTCTTACTTGTAGTCCCGTACCATATAAGTGCCAGGCACAAACTGTACGGTTTTATTTGTTTTTCTCCAAATCATCGCGTATTTTCTTAACAGTTGCAAACTTTCGTAGATTAGTAGCGAGCAGTGCTACAATAACAAAAAAAAAAACATTACGAATGCATGTTCGGTTAATATGCGCATGAATTTTTACGAGTTTACGTAACGTGTTTTCGGTTTATTTACGTCGATCGGGTCTTGTCCGAGTTAAATTAATACCCTCTCATGCATATTATTTACGGCCCTCTATGAAACTATCGATTTCTAGAGGTGACGATTGATACTTACATTAAAATTTTCCAGTTTTTTTTTTAAGAATATTGTTGAAGTTGCCTCTTTGACTCTGATGAATTCATAATTAATTTATGTGCCAAAATTTGCCTCCAGCCTTGGTAAACATGTTTTGAAACGTGTTTTTGATTAGTCTGGTTGCTTTAAGTAGGTACTCGTCAATACTACTGATCGGAAACCTAAATACCTACGTTATATCAAAAGGAGCTACTTTACAAACTACATATTATTATATCTACTAAGGTTTCATCCCTGATATACAGCGTGAATTTTGAGTTACCTGAGTAAATTTACTAGCGAATACAGAGAATGATTTAGGCTGTATTGAAAAAAAAATACAATTAATCTCTTCTAAGTGTTTTAAAATAATTGTGCAATTATGGAACTCTAAGAATTTAAGTTGTCATAATTTCTTTGAAATAGAACTGCTTTTGGGGTCTATGTACTTTAAACGGATAATAGAGATATACGGATAATAGAGAGGGGGATCCCTCTAAAAGCTAAAGTATTGGCTTGAAAATCAAATGCTTTCATGAATTTTTAAGGAAAATGTACTCTGTACAATGGCGAGTACATCTATAGCAATAGGAGTATACGATTATGCACGAAACATGTTCCAATATTAATTATAATCAAATAATGGATAATTCGAGGCTCTCTATATTATTAATTTTAAGTAAAATTTGTTAAGAGGTGGCTGAAAAACAGCGTTGGTTCAGGTCCAGACTTGACCAACATTGGCTGAGCCATTCCCTATTGTCTTATTTTTAATAATATTATTTAAATATATGTTAACATGTAAAAAGAGACGATACAATAAATTATTATTATTATTAAATAATAACGGATATTCAAATGGATTTGTTAGTTTCAGAGTAATAGTTGTTCAAGTTATGTATTAGAAAATTTCTGACTTAATAAAAATTCCTTACAAGAAAACATTAAAAGTGACTTAGACAAAGTAATTGCTTAACATATAGACTCCAAAATAAATTGTTGTGACGACGAGCAACTACGGAACGTGGCACGAGACGCAGTTGGCCGGGTTTTTATCATTACTTTAGGCTAACTGTAATATTATTATGAACAAATTATTTAAACAACTCACGTTATTTTATTAACTTCATACTTACTCATAAGAATTTGATTAATATATTTTTGTAACATCTTCTTTTCATCTTATTTAAAGTGATATTATTAAGTAAACCCATGTTCAATGAGTAATAACTTATATGTACAAGTATGTATGTCACATCTGAGTGTATACACACATCAAAAAAAAGTTTGAGATCACTTGCAAAAGCTGATATATTTTCAAATTTTAACTTAATCAACAGAAAATGTTTACGTTATATTTTTTTTATATAAAATATCTGAAATTAAAAAAAACTTATTTTATTTTTTAGTATAAAAAATATATAATTCAATCCTTAGGCGATTGTAAGTAATAGAACTTTGATAGAAATAAAAAGATAGTTTAACCAAACTTAAAAACCTTTTATTAATAAATATTGTTTATCTGATACAAAATAACTCCTCCTCTGGTTCGAACACATGCGGAGATCCTCCTGGGCATGCTGAGGATCAAGTCATCCAGCATTTCTTGTGGTAACCTGTCCCATTCTTGAACAGCAGCTTCCCTGAGCTGCGGCACTGTCTGTGGTGGTGACTGCCGGTTCCAAACAGCTTAAGCGAGCCTCATGATATCAAATTCACAGCCTTTGCTTTGTAGAATGGGGCTAAATGTCTAACCACCTACTCTTTCCGAGATGCGCTTAATCTCCGAGATGAGGGACTTTCGTCCGCAGAAAAAAAAGAGAAAAGTCCCTGAATCGTGAAAAAAATAACCTCCGAAAACTTGGACTCCAAGCAGACGGTGTGCGAATATTCGTCGCCTGAAATTTTTAAGAAGCGCACGCTATGATAGCAAATATTCCGAGATTATGTGTTGTAATTAACATGAAAATTAAGAAAAGTTGAAAACATTTTAAAGGAGAATGCAGGGTCCTTCCCATTAAATCGGACCTAGCGAACATCGCGGACTAAAGCTAGCTGTGTGTGTTGCTGCGCCCAATCAAATGAGCTCTATTTTTTCGGGGACACCCGCATACTTTTGTCGGTACTTTTAATTTGGCAATTGCATTACTAGATGAAGTTTTGTAAGCGATCTATTTTTGCGGACTATTAATTCCGTGGACGAAATTCCCTCATCTGCGCAGGTCATAAAAGCTAAAGCCAGTGTCAACTCAGTGTGAATTAAAATGCATGAAATGAAAGGCACTATGTACATTTATTTCAACTGTCAAAAATACCTCGTGAATCTATTAAGATTCTTATACTGTATTAACAGTCTTAATTTATGAAAAGCCTGACTTTTAAAGACTGATTCTAATTTTGTGAAACTGACAAGACGAACGAACGAACGGCGCGCGTTTAGTAGTAGGGTCCAGTTGCGATTGCCCTTTGGGTACGGAACTCTAAATGTGTCCACACACAGGAATGCACACTTTTAATGTTTGTTTACAAAATAAAAGTAGCCGTGCGGTGACCTTGAGTCAAATCCGTTTTATAACAGCACCAAGGATATCTATTTATACAGCGTCATTCATATTATATCTCCATCTGTACAAAAATAATCTGGAAAATATTATTGTTGAGCCGGCAATATGCGCAGTCCATAATTCTGTGCGTGAATCGATGTTCTATTTTGGTTACAAAAAGCATTATCGTTCCATTTAAACATTTAGCTTAAGTTTATGTTATCCCCTGCGGGTTTGGTTAAGTAATGAAGGTGCAGCTTGAGTGTATAAAATCACTTACATATGTGCGCCCCATCATATATCAATGGGCGTATATCATATACGCCCATTGACGAAATGTTTGGGCGCATGTAAAGGACCGATAGAAATTCATTCGCAAATGTACTTTTACATGCGAGCCCATGTTTGCTCCTCTTATACTTGTTTACAAATATGAGAAAACATAACTATAATTGCTATTTCTTCTTTCAAATGTTTAATACTTGAAGTATTCATTTGACATTGTGGGTTACCTGCAGTGCGAAGAGATGGCGCTGCCTTGCAGCTTAAGGCTAGGAAAATTTCGACGCGGCTAATAGGGCCGTGGTAGCTTAGTGGTCAGTGCATTCGCCCGGATTCCGAAGGGTGCGGGTTCGAGTCCCGTCCGCTGCCTGGTCCGCGTGGATTTTTTTCTAGTAAACTTTTCTTTAGATTTAAACATTGAGCAGTTAAATGCTTAAAAATAAATAAAAACATAAATGTGAGTCTTCTTTACGATTTAGTTATTATTTTTAAGAAGGGTAATGAAAGACAGAAACTTACCAATTAACAAAACTAAATAGACGTTTTTTTAATTATTTTTTGACTTGATCTATGATTTTATTTGATAAATGTGTGAAAACTACGCGACTGTCGTGGACTTTAATGGGCGTCAAAAAACCAACGAGCACGTATGTAGCGAAAAATTCGCGAGCGCATTCGCAAATATCGTCCCACATATACGGATTCGCGCATACGTGCGAATGTGAGTGACCGGGATATGAAGTTATGTGTGTGCATGCTTGCTCACCTTGCCCGCCAGCTTTAATAAGCTTTGCTTACAACAGAGGAGAGTTAGGAAGAGAAGTTTCAGGCGCATACAAAGCTTTAATTTTACACTCAGTTTATCATGGAGTTTCATCAATTCAGTTCCGCCTGAAGTCAACTTTCATACAGTAAAGGCTTTAAAATTTTTATTAAAGCATTAAATTCAGTAAAAAGAAGAGCTTTTACTGGTCGCATACCTGGCAGATAACACAACAAAACATTTTTTTTTATTTAAAGAAAAAACACAAAGAAAAAACTTAAAAACAGTAGGTAGTAATAACAAAAATAACTAAAAATGTGTAAATGATATAAATTTAAAAGTAGACATACAAAATGATAAATAGCAAACAACAAAAATATATTTAATGGCATACATAAACAACAACACAATAATTAAATACATTAGTCAATCAAGTCCGCAGATTACCAATCGTAGTGTTTAGGTGGGGAGACTGTTGTCTGGCTTGGCATTATGTAATAATATTTTTAAATTATATGTCTATGTTAACAATGGTTTATGTAAGATACGGTATTTTAATAATATAAAGAAGAAAGCCTTACACATACGTAGGTAAAAAAAAAACAATAAAAAATGACAATGGTGTAAAAATACATATAGATATACGTAAACTGAGTTACATAATTAAAAGTTTATAAGATTGATAAAAAATAATATTAAATAAATATTAAGGCCGTAAGTGATACCCACGCGCCCACATAGCGAAAGCCGCGCCAGGAACGTAAAAACTGAACGCCACCTCAGCAGGCAGCCTGACAGTGACACTGTTGACAATATAGTGACAATATAGGGTGTATTCAGAAATTAACATCAGTATACTGGCCAGTGGTAATGACGCCACGAATCCGACGCCATGTTGTACTGGTATG